AACCGGACCCTGATGATATGGTACGAGCAATTGAGAAGGCTATATCTATCCTACCAACAATCGATCCTCAAGAGATGCACGAGCGAGTGAGTTGTGTCTGAAATCTAGATTCAACATACCCAAAAATACTTTGAACTGACCCGACTAATATCATGAATTTGGTTTGTGTATTGCCCACCAGATGAAGAAGCTCTACAGTTGGCAAGATGTAGCCAAAAGAACCAAGATTGTCTACGACCGTGCTCTCAAATGCTCTAACCGGAGTCTTATCGAACGCCTTTCCCGGTGCGTCACTCCATATAACCTATTTATGTAAAAAACGATTAGAATGAATGGAAAAAAAAAAAGAAACCTTTCCATAGATAATGATCTGGGCGGCTGATGCTAATGCAGGTACCTCCCTTGTGGTGCGTGGGCAGGAAAGCTATTCTGTTTTGTTATAATCATTGATTACCTTTTATGGCGTTTGCTTCAGATACTGCAGGTTAAGTTTTCATGTTCTGTTTCCACATTGATCCATGTTCTTCTTACAAATGCTCTAACCGGAGTTTTCATGTTCTCTATCACAACTATAATTTTCTGACAAGTTTACTGTTTTCATGATGAATTTTGCCTCAGCCTGACGAAGATATCGAAGAAGTGCCCGACTTTGTTCTTCCTCGCAACCGATGAGACTGTAATAAAGAATCGGTGTCTCTGCTTCATCTTTTGCCACTTTTTGTTGTATGCCTTTAGGGTTTTTTGTTTTGCTGAAATCCGAGAGATTCCTTTAGGTTGTTTTCTAAGGATCCAAGGAACAATTTGTGTATTAGGGTTCTCATGGAGTAGTAGAAACTAGTTATTTGTGCAACGGAAACAAAGGGCAAAACACTATTTGTCTTCAACATAAGAGTAGAGTTGTTGTCGTGATTCTTGCTTCATCTCCAAATGAGATCGCCCATGAACTTCAGTGCAGGGACACCTCTTATCTCTGCATCTAGCAATGGGGCTTGTATCAATTTCAACCCGGAAAGTTCTGGATCTTTCTGAATAATGTCGAGTGCCCGTGTCTGATCCTGAAACATCAAGAACCGAGACTTTGAACTTTGAATGAAAACAGGCAAGGATTCTAGATGGGTACCTAAGCAATTGCTAAACCTACATGGGACACTACCAAACGGATATTACCGAAAAAAGGCCTCTCGACAAGTACAGATCGAATATCCAAAATTTTCGGACTACCCGAATATCTCGGGTATATCCACGGAGACATGGGTTTAAATAGGAAATTTCGATTTTTTCCAGGAATAAATATCATGAAGTCTATATGGTAATATTAAAACTATCATAATCCGGGTATCCGCAGGCAATACCCAGTCCCGGACCCAATTACCCGAACACAATCTCGGGTTTTCTTCTTCGTGCTCTAGTGTTATCGAAAACGTTCATAAAAAGCATCAACTGAGATATCGTCCAACTCATGAATGAATCGTCAAAAATGGAAAGTTTTTAGTAAGCCGTTGCAAGGATGGGGGAAGTAGAGCAGTTACCTTCCTTCTCATCGAGCAGAACTTGCAGTCAGACCCAGACGGAGGTAGAACCTGATTGATGATAAGCCTATGGACCGGCACATTTTCCTTCTTCAAAGATGCATGTAGCCTTGAAGACTCATTTATTGCCATAACCTGAAAGTTTTTTTAAAAAATTATGCCCTGATGAAATATACAAGAAAACAGAGCCCGACAACTCGCGGGTAATGATACCAAATGACGGAATTCATCATCAACACCCGTCAAAATGCTCGGGGGGTCAGAGAAGAAACGTGTGAAAATGATAGTTTTGCAAAGGTGAGTGTCTTGTTACCCGGAAAAAGATACAGAGAGGGTGTTACCGTCGGGATGGTTACGATGACAAACTCAGTAGTATCGTCGTCACGGAAAACGTTTCGAACTTTTGCCATTCTCTCTTTCAGTTGGTCCATTTCATTAGGCTGTCAAAAAAAAAGGGGTGTTTCAGAATTTCAGGATATAGTAGATGGAAGTGTTGGTTGAAGTGAAAAAACTTGATTCTTTTTACCGTCTCCTGTGGTATTTCCTTCTTCCCCAAAACCGACTTGAAGACTGAAGCTGCAGCAGAGATCTTCTTCTTGATCTGAATAACATAATCCATTCAGATACATATCCGCTAAAGGATGTTTCGGGGGAAACATATAGTTGAATCGCCAATAAAAGGAGCTAACTTTCATGCTCAAACCTTTGTTATTTTCCCTATGGATGCATCATAGAAGTCAGGCAGTGAAAGAAGCCGGAGAGTATGTCCCTGTAGTTGATTTCTCACTTATCAGAATTAACATCAGCCCATGCCAGCCTACTGTAGGAGAAGCATGATCATAGAAAAAGAAAAATTCGCTAACCGTAGGTGCAGTATCGAAAACGATACGGGTAAACCTACTGTATTCTGGGGATTCCATGAATTGCAGAACCTAGAAAGACATTCCAATCATTTGGAAGTAAAAGTCCGAAGCAAAAGAAATGAAAAAAGTTTAAAACTTTCACATTTGCAAGAAACCCAATTCATGAGAGCAATCATTCGAGGGAATTATACGTGCCTTGGAGATAGCCGCTATTTCGTCAATACCAGGAGATGCAGCATTGATCATATCTTCAAGATTTAAGTCCCCTAACTACCAGAAACGGACAACGTCTCTGAGACATCGATGAAGTTTCACAATGGTAGTTGGAATTGGAAAGAAAGGTGAAATCACTGATAGAGAAAAGGGCAAAGGGATATGAACCTCGCCAGCAAGCATTCCGAGCCCCATGCTATCCATGAGATCTTTCACGTTTTTATTGCCCTTTTGATGTTTAATCTCTTCCTTCATTCTCTCAGGGGTTATCTACCGTGATGCAGTGAGGGGATAAGACATTTCAGGAAATGCCAATTTATTTCAAGAAACATGAAGAACTCGCGCTATAATTGAACGTATAACACCTCAAGAGCCAGAAGCGGAGAATCAACACCTTCAATTGGCTTCAGAACTCCTCCTGTCAAGTCCTGCAAGCAAAATCGGAGAAATTCAGTTTGTCCAAAAAGAAAATTTACGCCCAAAAGTGAAATGTCGAATCTTGAAGCTAAAGCAGGAGTTGATACCTGAGCAAAGGAATCGCTCAAGGAGTGAGCGGGATCAGTTGAAACCACGATAGTCGGATGACCGTTATTAGCAAACTTAATGGCAAGAGAAGCAGCGCAGCTTGTTTTCCCGACACCTCCCTTTCCGCCAAGAAGGTAATACTTCCGTTGATTACCGGATACCATCTCATCGAATCGGGAAGCATTTTCAACAAGGGTAACCAACGATCTCCCTACACAAACAAGTGAAATCAACTAAAAGATCTCTAAGATGCGTCTTTGCCAACAATGCAGAGGGTTTCATCCAATTCTGCAGGACTTTTCAATCATAAAAAGCCGGGGACTTTTCAATCACTAAGCACCTACTCATTTTCACGGAGTGACAGAATTTCATATTTGGCACAACTTTTTCTACAACCGACAGGCTGTTGATACAAAAACTCTTCATGATTAACACACACCGAAATCGAACAATTTTCAACAAATCCAAATCAATCGCCTTTAACCATTGAATGAAATCCATGTTCCCAAATCAACTATAAGGCGCTAAGAACAGGAACAATAACCTAGATGGCACGCGGATTCATCATGACAGAAATCTTCGACAACGAATTCTGCCCAGAAATTCAGTTCACAAGTTTGAACTTTTACAGAGAAAACAGCAAGAGAGAGACAAAGGGAGCAAAAGGGTAACCTCGAAATGCTGTCGAGGAGATTCCACCACGAATTTGGACAGAAAGGAAATCGAAACCGTGACTTCCTGAGACTCGATAGAGAGAGATGCAGGCTCTGGTCCTCGAAATGCGATTGAGAAGCAGAGCAGCCGCCATTGAAGTAGAAGAAGAATAATGATGAGGAGGAAAGGAATTGGGTCAAGTTAGAGAAAATAATTGCAAAACCCTGTTTGGATGCCGAGAAAGCTGAAGGAAAATTCAGGGTTTTAGTGAGGGTTTTAGGTGTTACGTTCCCAAAAGTTCCGACCGTGAGAGGAGAGTAGAGACTCCGGTTTGATTCGCTTCGGTTCGGTCGGTATTTTTTATTAAATAAACTTCAGCTGTATTCTTTCCGATTTATGAAATATGGATTGAAATTTGAAATCATCTTAACCGTTTCGATTTGGATTGTTATCAATGAAACGAAACTTTTGATTCAATTTGGTTTAAATAAATTAAAATGCATTGGAACCGAATTATATTTATCTTAATACGGTTATGATCCGACTCGGTTTGGTTTTTTTTTTCATATCTATCCAATATTTGTTACACAACAATAAATGTTTCAAACTAGATGATCAAGTTGACTTGGTTACAAGCAACTTGGTAAATAAGAAAAACCTTCTCTACTTTCTCTCTTACTAAACATTCACGTGCTATCAGAGTTTGGTTAAATGTTCTTTTATCCATGTGATTCGGATTTACGTCTTAGTGTCTTTACGGATGCCGATTGGACCGCCTATCCCGATTCACATCGTTCGATTACAGGATTCTGCATCTTTTTGGGCAATTCTCTGATTTTTTGGAAATCCAAAAAACAATAGATGGTTTTCCGTGGTTCCTCCGAGTCCGAGTATAGAACCATGGCTCAGACTTCATGCAAACTCGTTTGGCTCGATGCTCTTCTTCGTGAACTGTCCGGTTCCTCTGTATTGCGACAATCAATCTGCCGTTCATATTGCAATCAACCCATTTCATCACGAATGCACGAAGCATATTGAAACTCGACTGTCATTTCGTCTACGAACGTATTCAGTCCGGTTTCTTGAAGACTCTTCACGTTTCTGTGATCAGATTGTGGACAGGAGAGTGTTACATATATATATATATTACCAGATTTATTTAATTGTTGTACTTGTATAGATTCAAATTTATCTTCTGTTTCCTCTTTTTCTAAAGGTAAATTAGTTTTCCAGTTTATGTATAAATATGTACGTCTCTACAACTTGGTAAATAAGAAAAAACTTCTCCACTTTTTATGTTGCTAAACATTAATACTTATTTATTGATAATATGAAATATCAACATTTGGAAAAAAAGAATATATATATAAAGTATAATTAAAACCACTTGGTGTTGTTTACCTGTGGATAAATTGAGGCTACCCTTTTATTTTTCACGAGTACATATATTTTAACAGATCGTATAACGTAGTATGTTGCTAAATATGTTAAGACATGATAGTACACGTATAATATTCGAGTGAGAATTAATTTTATATATATATATATATATATATATGTGTGTGTGTGTGTGTGATTATTATAATACGATCATATTAGACAAATTCATTAGAGACATATAATTTTATATCTTATTAACAATCCTCAAGAGATTTGTAATGTGATAGCTAACATGTCACGTTATGTACAAAAATATATATCACACACACACACGCACACACACATATATATATATATATATAATACATATGTATTTATAAAATAACAAAAGCATACTCATTGTAAACCATTGGGCCTTACATGGCAAATAGTATTTGAAGCCCAGAGCTCGCTTACCTCTTAAGATCGGGTATTTTTAGAATTCAAGTTTTTTTGTCAAGCGAATTTGAGATTATCTGGTCAGTAGAATTTTAAAATTTGAGAAATAACAAAATCGATTACTTAATTTGATGATTTCCTCATAAAAAAAATTATCACAATTATATTTTACATCGGATTACTATTTTATGAAATTCAATTATAAAAATCTCGTTTTCATATTCTTTTTTTCATGATGTTTAATCGTGTACGGTTAATTTGGAATTTTTAATCATATTTTCAAAATCTTTATCAAATCCTTGCGGATCGAATTTCATCAAAATACAATTTTGTATTATTTGATTTTTTTCTGTTACCATTAGTTTGTGAATATTTAAACCAAAATGGTAAAACCTAATCACGCCTCAAATTTATTTTTAACTAAAATCCAGTATCCCTACACATCTAGAAAGGTACAATTTTGTATAAAATTAATTAAGACGAACTAAATATATATTTATAGCAAAAATATATATATAAATGAGATGGAGAAAATCGTTTTCCTTTCGTAATCTAAATGACTTTGAGTTTGCTTCTGCTGACCAAACGATTTATCTTTGAACTCTTACAGGAAATATTGTTAATAACTATACACGGTGGACAATTTGAAACGAAATAAAATTTAAATTATACGTACCATATATATGCACGCTTGTGTTTTTTGCATGGACCGTAACCATATTATATATATTATTATAAAATAAAATTAGTAAGACCGAAATTTCAAACAATTCGGCAGTAGCACTAGCGATGACAACAATTCAGCGCCAACCAATTGGAAACTTTCAGCTTTGTAGTTTCATCAAATGTTTAAAAAAATAATTATGGAAAATATGATAAAAAAATATTGTCAACTTGATTCGGTTTTATATAACAATATCTATATATTTTTTTCGCTTTATTAACGTAAAAGAATATATCTACTAATATTTATTTTGAGTCTATTTGTAAAAATAACATTTCACATTCATATATATATATATATATAGTTCATACTAAAATTAAATAATTCATATAAACGTAAATCTTTTTTTTTTTTTGAATTTGCCTACCAAGTTAGGATTCCTAGGAGAAGAGAATGGAGGATTTGAATAACTAAATTTTTAGGATAATAATATTTCCATAGTTACGATTCAGTAAAAAAAATAGATTTTTTTCACACTTTTTAAAAAATTATAAAAAAGTAATATATATCCTCATTAAATTATTTCTCATTAGTACTCTATTCAAATTGGGTCATTAAAATAAAGGGTAAGATTGATTTTAAAAAAAAAATCTTAAATGATATCTATTAAATAACAAAATATATCTTCTTAAATGTCGTCTAATAAGTAACGGAGGGAGTACTATATATATATATATATATATATGGAATTGGATATGAAATTGTCAAAATTAATATGAGAGAGGCAAGTCACATGGAATTGTGGATCCACATAAATTAGACGGTTTTTCTTGCACTTTATGTCTTCTTGACTTTTTTTTTTTTGGGTGGGTTTCTTTGCATTATATTTATACGCGCATCGATGCAAATAGAGAAAAATAATAATATATTCGGGCATATATTATTATATTTATATACATTATGTGAAATTCACTAGAAAACCGTGTCATCGATTATGGTATAAGATTCATCTATTTTCGATGCATAATTAATTGTACGGAAAAGTTGTTGATTGCAATTTTATCATTTTGGACCAAAAAAAATGCGGTTTACTTCTTTTGGTTATTGAATATTCCATTTCTTACACATATATTGTGCATGTTCTTTAAATGATGTGTGTGTGTGTATATATATTTCTTGCAGCATTGGATACAATTTTTATGGATGTTTTTTTTTAACATTTGATTCGATTTCGTCCAATTTTTTTTTTTATTTATACAACAAAACGCGAGAGATTTATATAGATGTAGAATTTGTAAATATCTATCTACGCTTCTATAAATTTATAAACATATATAAATAATGTTTTAAATTAAAATAACAATGCTACCTCTTATGATATATAAAAAATAAAAAAACTATATAATTCTATTCTATGAATGAAAAACCTTTAGAATTTCTTCTACACAATTACTGGTTTTATTGGTGTTGAAACGAATAAATAAGGGGTTTTATTTTTTATTTTTGAATGGTTTTGAAGCATTGAATGGTTTTGCTTTATCCTTAATGCCATATATTTTTTTTTGTCTCTCTATTCAATTCTTTGGCCCATTCTCCTCATTTTCAACATTACATAATACACAACACAAACTTATTGCATTTCCCCCATTAATTTATTACATAGCAAATGACATATATATATATATATATATATATGTGTGTGTGTAGCTCATAATGGACCAAACACATCAATAAGAACTTTCTCATAATGGAAACTGAATGATAGTCCAAATGAATTCGTACACATAAAATTGAGATTTTATAAATTAATTTATGGGATATGAAAACTAAGGTCTTCATGCTTCTTCAGTTGTGAGAGCAGTGGTTAAACTATTTTAGGGGTGTCAATCGGGTCGGTCCGGTCCGACCTGGCCCGAGTCCGCACTCGGTCTGGAAGTTTCGGGTTCGGGCTCGGACCGGCCCGATTTTTTTCGAGTCTATATACTTAAGCCCGAAGTCCGGTCCTATGCATTACGGGCTCGGGTCGGGTTGGGCCGGGCCGGGCCGACCCGCAGATTTTCTTTGTAAATGTTATTTTTTTTCTTTTTTCTTTTTTAATTTTCGGGCTTTCGGGCCGGCCCGATTCGAGCCCGAAGCCCGAAAACCCGATTTTTTTCGGGCCAAAAAATTCCGGCCCGAAGCCCGCTATTTTTCGGGTTGGGTCGGGCTGGGCTTCGGGCCTCGGGCCCAAATTGACACCCCTAAACTATTTAGGTGGGGGGTTGGTGAACGATCCTTCTTAATACATAATTAGATCTCGTTTTTATTAATAATAATAATAATCAAAGGTAATAGTCTTGCAAATTAATTTGTTACACGATTCGATGTCACACATATATATATATATGTATGATATAAATTAGGTTGCAAAATTCTTTTTCTGGAAAATAGATACGATAAAACCATACTGTGAGATTAAAAGTAAAATTTGATCCAGCGGGTTAAATAATAACAATGTACTAAATAAGTTTTAAAAAAAAATCTAAACCCCCCTCTATTAATTTATGGGATAATTCCATTTAAAACCATGTACTTTTCTCTCGTCTCAATTTAAACCCTGTACTTTTTTTTGATCCAAAAAAACATTGTACTTTTAAAAATTGGCAAATAAAACCCTGAACGAAAAACAATATTATTTAATGCTGACATGACATCTTAGTCATCTACCACATCATCAATACCTAATATTTAATAATATTAATTAATAAAAAATAAAAATAAAATAATAAAAATAAAAATAAAATTTTAAAAATTATATATATTCATAAAAATTATACACATATATAAACATGTTTATAAAAATTTTAAAATTATATACATATATAAATATATTTATATATACATATATACATATATATACATATGATACATATATATCTATATATGTGTATAATTATTATATGTTTTATATGTATGTGTTATATATGTATTT